AGTTGTCCTTTGGAGAAGGTAGCCTCAATTCCCAAAAAAATGAAAACTTCCAAGATCTTTCATAGGAAAACGTTTCCCTAAATCTGAGATTAATTGAGTGAGATGCAAATCACTATTTCCAGTAAGTAAAATATCATTCACTTAAATGAGAAGAAACATGGTCACCCCTTCTGAATATATGTGAATAAAGAGTAGTCGGCTTTGGACCCAACAAAACCCAAGTTGCATAGTCTGAAAAGCGTTGAAACCATGTACGAGGAGCTTGTTTTAAGCCATAAAGGGATTTATGTAGATAACACACATGATGTGGGAAATTTGGATCCGTAAATCCTTTGGGTTGGCGCATGTAAACTTCCTCATGCAGAATACCATGAAGAAAGGCATTTTGTACATTTAGTTACCTTATTGACCAATGTCGGGTGAGGGCAATAATTAAAATTTTTCGGATAGTAGTATGCTTTGCAACAGGACTGAAGGTTTCGGTGTAGTCAACACCCTCTTGTTGATGAAATCCATTAACGACAAGGCGAGCTTTAAAGCGTTCAATGGATCCATCAGATTTTTTTTTTTTTTTTTTTTTTTTTTTTTTAAACTTTGTAAACCCATTTATTGGAAAAAACATTTATACCTAGATGATAAGGCGCTGATGACCATGTCCCATACTTTTGGAGTGCATCAAACTCCACACACATAGCTTGACGCCACTCAGGTATTTTTTTTTTGCTTGAATAAAACATGAGGGCTCCATAGGTGTAGATGCAAAATTTATAGCTAAAGCATATTTTGGATTAGGTTTTTTTATTCCCACTTTACCACGAGTCACCATGGAGTGTGAAGAAGATGTTGGTAATGTGGGTTAAATTGGTTCATTAAGATGAGATACTAATTCAAGATCAGGTGAAGGTATGGAGGATGATGAAGTTATGGGTTGTGGTACAGGGCTAGGACAAGAAGAAAATGTGAAAGGTATGACAAAAGGTGAAGAAGTATCTTCTATTAGCAATAAGTGAGATGGACTATTGGACATGTTTTTTAATGGAAATGATTGCTCATCAAAGACGACATGCCGAGATAAATACACTATTCCAGATTCAACGTTAAGACACTGATACCCTTGATGATTAGTAGAATACCCCAAGAAAATACATTGCTTAGACCAAAATTCCAATTTGTTTTTATTGTTAAGGACAAAGATAAGGAAAACATGAAAATCCAAAAACTCGGAAGAAAGAGTAATCTTGAGATTTATGAAATAAATATTCAAATGATGAAATATAACCTAAACCTTTAGCAGGTAAACGGTTTATTAAAAAAATAGCAGCATTAAAATCCTCTACCCAAAAGGGAAAAGGCATACTTGCTTAAGCCAAAAGAACTAGACCAGTATCAACAATGTGTCTATATTTTCGCTCAGCTACCCCATTTTGTTCTGAAGTATGAGGACAGGACATGCGATGAAATATTCCATGTGTGGTTAAGCAACGTTAAATGGGGCACTAAGATATTCACGGCCTCCATCAGTTTGCAAACCTTTAATTGTTGTTGAGAAAATATTTTCAACTAGAGCTTTATATTTCAAGAAACAATCAAGTACTTCATGTTTAAACCTCATAGGAAAAAGCCATGTATATTTTGAATAATCATCCACAAATGAAATATAATATTTAAACCCTTTATTAGAATAATAGAGTTACATGGCTACTTTAAGGGGTTAAGGGACTTAGGCAAGGAGACACTCTCTTACCACTATTGTTTGTCCTAGCTATGAAGGTTTTTTTTTTTCCTCCATCACTAATAATCCATCCTTCAAATTCCATTTTAGTTTAAAAACTATCCATTTCCCACCTAATATTCGTTGACAATCTCTTTCTTTTCACTTATGGGGATCTAGCTTTCATATCCACACTCAACCACTCTCTGGACCACTTTACCTCTCTCTATTGACTAAGCATCAACAACTCCATATTTAAACCCTTTATTAGAATAATAGAGTTACATGGCTACTTTAAGGGGTTAAGGGACTTAGGCAAGGAGACACTCTCTTACCACTATTGTTTGTCCTAGCTATGAAGGTTTTTTTTTTTCCTCCATCACTAATAATCCATCCTTCAAATTCCATTTTAGTTTAAAAACTATCCATTTCCCACCTAATATTCGTTGACAATCTCTTTCTTTTCACTTATGGGGATCTAGCTTTCATATCCACACTCAACCACTCTCTGGACCACTTTACCTCTCTCTATTGACTAAGCATCAACAACTCCAAAAGCAATTTTTTTGTCAAGCAATTTTTTTGCTTCTCACATTGACAATATTCTACTTGATGAGATCAACGCTATTCTTGGGTTTGAATGTGGGACGTTGCCTATTAAATATTTGCGTGTGCACTTAATCTCCACCGGACTTAAGGCCACTGACTGTAGGGGGCTACTAGAGATCATGTAATGTTTCCGAATTTCAGCAATTTTTTTTTTTTTTTTTTTTCTGGAATTTCATTGACGCAAGGGTATTTTCGTCCTTTCACGTTTTGCGTGCGTGAATTTAGTTGAGCTCATGTGCATTTGGTGCTTTTTAATTTATGTGATGATGTAGCATTTTAAGGTGGTATGTATTTGAGTGGTGTTGATTTAGTGCAAAAAGAAAAAGAGAAAAGAAAAGAAAATGAGTGGTGGGACCCACTACTATGCATAAGTGGTGTAGAGACCACCTCACTTTTCTCACTTCCTCTCTCTCTCTCTCCACGTAATTCTCTCCCTCTCTTCTTCTTCTTTTAATTTTTCTTCTCATTTGGTTTCAAGCTTTGAGATTTGATTTCTCTCTCGATCTTTGTCGGATTAAGGTACTGTTTGAGGCAAAACGAAGAGCACGACGAGCTCTACGCATCCATACCTGAAATTCCAGATTTGGTACCCTCATTGGAGTTCGAATTTGAGGACCTATTTTCAAGGGTTTTGCTCACTTTTGAGGTAGAGGCTTCCTAATCTATATATTCTTGCTTCTTTGTGAGCTATTCTACTTGAAATGTGTTAAAGCATGTTTAATTGTGTTAATTGTTGTTTTAAAAAGCCTTGATTGTATATGTGTGGGTATATGGAGACTTGTCTTGATTATGTTGTGTGAAAAACATGTTATATTATAAAATTTATGTCTATCATATTATTTACATGCTATGATTGATGTATGAGAACAGGCCCTATTGTATTTTGTGATAATCTTTCATTGATTAAGCATCAAAGGCATGAGCTATACATGTGAATCATGGGGTTGCATGATGGAAAATGTTTTGAAATGAAAACGGGGAATTTTGGAGAAGTGTTTTGATGAAATGGTTTTGTGCAAACCCGGTCGCTGCGGGGTTACCAACGGGCTCGAGGTTAATATAGCCTAGAGGGGACTAGAGAGTCGCCCTAGCGTGGTTGAGCTAGCTGGGCCCCATAATGACGCCGCGGGGTTACCAATGGTCAGAGACAGTAGCCAATCCTCCTCTCGTGTCGCGGCGGCGTTACCAAAGGGCGGGCTGTATTAACAGTTTGGAAACGATGGTTTTGGAATATGAAAATGGGGAGTGACACTAGCATGCATTGCATTACATTGTGTATACTTGAGATTGAATTGTTATGCTATATTATCCCGACATCGTATGACCCCGTTCCCTATTGGCCTATGCTTTGTTTGGATTCACGGGGCTTTAAGAGGTGCGTCTTAGGTGTCACCTACTGAGCGTTACGCTCACTCTACTACATATATTTTTTTTTAGGTCTTGAGAAAGAACCGGTGGACGATAATCCACCTCAAGCTTAAGAGATGCTAGAAGATTACTTTTGTTATTTTTATAACTAGGCCATTCTTTTGTAAAAGGAGCATTCTGGAAATGTAATTAAAGTTGTTCAAGTGGCTTTGTAAATTAAGAATGGAACTTACTTTGTTGATGTAAATGAATTTGTTGAAGTTGTTGTATATATTTGATTCTATGTAATTCAATTAATTGAAGTTGTATTATGATCTCATGTTGGTGTTCGAGTTCTTGATCATGGAATGGAAGATTTTTAGTCGTTTAATTCAAGCATGGACCATTTCCAAGCTTCCATTTCTATTTTCCTTCCTTTCCATAGCACGGTAGGTTGGCATTTGGAATTCAGGCTCAGGATCTCCATTTCGGTCGATCGAAATAGTGCATCGGTCAACCGAAACAGTTGAGGGTGCTCTTGGGATCTCCATTTCCGTCAACCGAAATGGGGTTCGGTCTACCGAAGCATCTCCTGCGCTTGGGATCTTTATTTTGGATGACCGAAGCTCTACTTCGGTCGACCGAAATGAAGTTGAGGGTTTAGGCTTCCTTCTCCTCTCATCTACTCTCGAGATCTTTATTTCGGATGACCAAAGCTCCACTTCGGTCGACCGAAATGAAGCAGCTTGACCATCCTTCTTTCTTTCTTCCGGTGTTTGATTGGCTCAATGACGGATTGGTTGATGAGGTGTACGGTGGGTGTGATTCAATAGTAGTAACGGTGTTTAGACCTTAGAAATGTCGTGATGGACTTAGGTAACCTCGGGTTCGAGTAAGGACCCATGTAGCGATCTGGGCCTCCGGGTCAGGGTCGTTACAATGAATGGTATCAGAGCCATGGTTCAAAAACCTTTAGGACGACGGGTAGAGGCCTGCATAGGGTATTGATTGCATTATTTATGTGACTACTTGCTATGTGTTTATTTACTTGAAGAAGCATGCTTACTTGCTTATGTGCTTACGTGCTTCCTTGCTTACTTGTTAATGTTAAACTGTTTCTTGCACAACTGTGTATGCTAAGTGTTAGTATGACGCCATTTCATGTTGAGTTGTTTTCAGTGGACTTTAGTGTCATGTCATTGAACCGTTTTCTCCTCTTATAGTACGATGTCACGACGTGAGGAAGCAAAGGAAGTTGGCCCCAGGCCGACAAGGGGTGATGTTGGCGAGAGCTCTAGCTCCAATCCGGAGGAGCTAAATGATGAGGATATACTTCTTAGAGACTTGATTCCCTCAAGAGTTGTTCCCACAAGGAGGGAAAATGTTGAAGCACCTGTAGCAGTGGGTGAGGGTTCTGTGGTACTGGAGTTGAATCGTTTGTTGTAAAGTGCCGTGAGGGCCGCCATTACTGCTCAGTCGCAGTCGGCACCACAACCTACAGTTCAAGTTGAGGAGACGCCAGCTCAAAAGCGTCTCAAGATCATTAAAGGGTTTTCTCAGTTGATGCAAGTTATGTTTGAGGGCGGTGCGGATCCAATGGTAGCGGATGACTACTTGGATCAAGTTGAGACTCAGTTGCTCTCAATGGATGTGACAGCAGATCATTTGAAGATCATCCTAGCTACTTATAAGTTTGTTAAGGATGCCAATGTTTGGTGGAAGTCGGTTACGAGCCAGTACAAGGTGGAGGAGATGAGTTGGGATAAGTTCAAGGAACTGTTTTATGAGAAGTATTTTCCGTTTTCCAAAAGATGGGAGTTACAAGACCAGTTTCATAACTTTATTCAAGGGAGCATGTCAGTGGCGGAATATGAGAATAAATTCACTTCACTTTCTCGCTTTGCTCCAGAAATGGTGAGCGATGAAGCTAACAAGACTCGGAAGTTTGTTTATGGTCTTAATGATCGAATGAGGCCGTTGATCATGGCACAGTTCATTAGGGTCTATTCTGAAGCAGTGGAAAGGACATTGATGCTGGAGGCCGATAATAAAGAGAAGGATGCAAGAAGAGAGCAGTTGAAGCAAAAGAGAAGTGTGGGACCATCTTCAGAGGGATCTTCTTGGAAGAGGAACATAGGAAGTTCATTTCAGTTTCAGGGGCAATAGTCTGCACGATTCCAGCTGGATCTGACAAGAGTAGAGTTGTTTGTTATCAATGTCAGCAGCCCGGACACTACAAGTCTAGTTGTCCCAAGAGATCGTCTTCAGTTTCTTCAGCTCCAAGGGCTTGTTATGGGTATGGCCAGCAGGGTCATTTGATTCGAGATTGTCCGAGTCAGGGAGCAGGCACTGGTAGTGGCAGAGGGTCATGACAGAAGCCGTCCCAATCGACTATAGTTCAGTCAGGTTTCAGACCTCCGCCACCACCTCAGCCTGCTATGTCTTCTCAGGGTTCACGACTTGTTAGGAGGGATGCTCTTACTGTGTCGGTGCAGCAGTCTAGTATTCAGGGTAGCAATTCTCAGACACAAGCACCACAGGGCCTTGTCTTTGCACTTGCACTGGCTGATGCATCTTCTGGACCATCAGTCCTCTGAGGTATCTTTCCTGTGTTTGGTTCGTGGGCTCATATTCTCTTTTACTCTGGTGCATCTTATTCCTTCATTTCATCTTCATTTGCACTTGCATCGGGGTTAGAGGTTGGTTTCCTGGATCGGGCGTTCTCAGTTGATACGCCAGTTGGGGTTTCTATGTCTTTGAATCGAGTTGTGAGGGATTGTTCCATTGTAATTGCTGGACGGACGTTTGTGTTTGACCTTATCCTTCTGGAGATGACTAGCTTTGATGTCATTCTCGGGATGGATTGGTTAGTGTAATACCCCTAATTTTAAAAGGATAGTCTCGGTATTTATTTATTTGTTTTAATTGTATTTTTTAATTATTTAATTAATTATTTGACTAATTGCTTATGTGTTTAATTGAATTAGGTATTACTTGATTATTTGATTATATGTCTATGTATTATTTGTATTTGTCTGTGTGTTAATTGTTTAATTAGATTATGTGCTTAAATGGTGTTTTGATAAATTGTAAATTAAATGTTTTCTTTTCTTTTATTATTTTATTTTATTTTTCTTTTATGATTATGGTTAGTAGTAATGGGCCAACCAATTGAGTCCCATGGACTACTTGGATAGGAGGTTGGATGTGTATGGATTATTACCCATGGATAATGTATGTATATATATAGATATATATTATATACATATAAAAAGGAAAGTAATTTATTAATTATTTTTATGGTAACTTGGGTAGTAATATTTAATCTGATGTATATGTTTTATATTTAAATAATAAAAATATACATAGATTTGATATGTGTTATGTTTTAAGTTACTTTATAATATTATGGTAACTTAAGTATTATTGGATAATCCATTAATAAATAATGGAATGTGCATAATTTATTTATTTAATAAACATATACATAAATTATATACGTAACATATTTTACTTACCTTTTTAATATATATATAAAAGAGAAAGTAATTTATTAATTACTTTTATGGTAATTTGGGTAGTAATATTTAATCTGATGTATATGTTTATTTAAATAATAAAAATATACATAAATTTGATACGTGTTATGTTTTAAGTTACTTTATAATATTATGGTAACTTAAATATTATTGGATAATCCATTAATAAATAATGGAATGTGTATAATTTATTTATTTAATAAACATATACATAAATTATATACGTAACATATTTTGCTTTCCTTTTTAATATTTTTATTTTCATTTTTTTTTTAGTTGACTTGGATAGGGAAAAGGGTTAGGGTTATTTTATTTAGCCTATAAATATATAGCTATAGGTTGTAAAAGGGGGTTAGAAATATTCACGTGATATATACTAGAGAGATAGTGTTAGAGAGGGAAGGAGAAAAAGGAAGGAATGAGGAGAAAAAAATCCTGTAGAGAGAAGATCAAGGAAGGAGAAGTTTAACTTTCGATCCGAAAGTTTAAGGCAAGTTCTTCTTCTATTTCTTTCCCTTTGATTCGTGTTTCTGTACATGCCTAGGAAATTCCAGGATTTATTAAACACATAAAATTAAATAATTATGCATGTTTAATTGGGTTAGAATATAGGTTTTATGAAATTGGTTCATATCTGTTCTTGTGTTATGAATTGATAAAATGCATGATTTTGATTTAATTTCTTATGTGAATTTTTACATGTTTAAATTATGTATTTTTCATATCTGTGGAATGATGGAACGTAGAAACATGCTTAGGATTCCTGAACATTAAATAGGGACTAGGTTTGGGTTTTAATAAATTTAAATAGACTCAATCATAATGTGCTTGCTATTTGAATGTTTTAAACAAACGAATGGATTTAATCTTTTAAAATATTTTAACAATTGAGATTAAATGTGTAGGATGAATTGGATATAGAGAATCCTTATTTAACGGTATAATAAAATATCATCATGTATAAGATTCAGTTTGTGTAGGACATATGATATAGGAAGTTTAAAGAAATAATAAGTCATTCCTATTATGTGATAACTTGATATCATATTTATCATAGTTATTTATGGAATGTTTGATGTATTTTCTTAATTGTTACATCAATTGTTGAATTGTGTGGTTTAATGCACCGGTATGGGACGGTGGCATTCTAGGGATGAATTAACTTATCAGTTAAGTCCTACCTATTTTATATAAGGGAATGGATTAACAAAAATGTTAAGTCCTACTTATATTTAAGTCAGGTCAGCTGAACAAGTTGAATAACTTATGGAGGATTAATTTATTATATAAGGGAATGGATTAACTAAAATGTTAAGTCCTACTTATATTCAAGTCAGGTCAGCTGAACAAGTTGAATGACTTATGGAGGATTAATTTATACTGGATCGGATGGTTACTAGATTTTATATATATAAGTATGGTGCCATGATATGAGCTTGAGTCTCAGGATCAATGATTAGGGCGCGTATATCGCCAGGGATGTGTAGCTAGATATAGTGTAGTTGTGTACCCTGGTAGGTCTAGGTACTCATGCCCACTATATGTGCGTTTTGCATGTTGCCTACTATTCAGGTTGAGATAACCCTATAGTCTAGTGAGGTTCCTTTAGTGTGTGTATATATATATACGGACTACTAGTTACTGTTGGATTGACTAGGATGTATATGTGTATCGGATCTTTGCTTGGACTGTAGTAGAGTAGAACTTGTTTGTGGGCCTAACCCACCATTATTTTTCAGGTGTTCGTCACGAGTAGAGATTGTTCGTGCTGAGCGGGGATCAGTCTACTTCATTCTTCCGATGCTACACATGAGTTCCTTTATGATTTTGTTTCCTGTTTTAGATTACTGTTATTTGTTTAGTTTGGATTTTCTAGGGGTCCACACAGTATGGATTCCAGAGTTGTATTTTGGAGGATCAGTTGTATCAGAAGAGTTTATTAATTAATGGAAATATATTATGAGGTTTATTATTAGATTATCATTTTAGTTTCTTGTCAGTATTTTATTTATTCTTCTTTATTCTTTTGTATTCTGTGTTCGTTTATTATCAATTTATTTTGAGATCCTCGGGTATTCGGGTGTGGGCCTGGCCAACCCGCATTCGGAAATTCGGGGGTATCACAGTTAGCATCCTTTCATGCCACGATTGATTGTTTCATAGGAAGAGTCACAATCTGTACTCTTGAGGGAAATTGTTTCTTTTTCATGGGAGATCGGAGTGATTCCCAGCCTTCGTCGTTGTATGGGATTCGTGGGAAAGGACGTAGTGATTACTTCTTGGCTAGCCTTCTAGCCGAAGAAGATGGTGTTGTGGAAGCAGATTATCCGGCAGTTGTTCGCGATTTTCTGGACGTGTTTGCAGAAGACTTGACAGAGTTGCCTCCACACCGGGAAGTAAAGTTCACTATTGATTTGATGCCTAGTACCGCGACGATTTCTATGGCACCAGTTGAGTTGGAAGAGTTGAGAAGACAGCTTGATGATTTGAGGATGAAAGGTTTCATCCGACCGAGTGTGTCACCTTGGGGCGCACCGGTCTTGTTTGCGAAGAAGAAAGATGGTTCTTTGAGGTTGTGCATTGATTACCGGAAGTTGAATCATGCCACCATCAAGAACAAGTATCCTTTGCCAAGGATAGATAATTTGTTTGATCAGTTGATGGGAGCCAGTTGTTTCTCGAAGATTGACTTGAGGTCAGGCTATTATCGGTTGCGGGTTAGGGATGAGAATATTTCGAAGACAGCATTCCGTACACGGTATGGACATTATGAGTTCCTTGTTATGCCTTTTGGCTTGACTAATGCGCCAGTGGCATTCATAGACTTGATAAACCGCGTCTTTCACGATTACTTGGACCAGTTTGTGGTAGTTTTTGTGGATGACATTCTTGTGTACTCGCGGACTCGGGAAGAGCACGAGGTCCATTTGGGTACTGTTCTACAGATTTTGCGGAAGCATCGATTGTATACCAAATATGAGAAGTGTGAGTTTTGGCTACAAGATGTAAAGTTTTTGGGGCATGTTGTTTCAGAAGGTGGAGTGTCAGTGGATCCATCAAAGATTGAAGCTGTTTTGAATTGGGAGCAACCCAATAATGTATTTGAAATTCGCAGTTTTATTGGTCTAGCGGGTAATTACCGGAGATTTGTGAAAGATTTCTCCCGTTTGGCAGCGTCTATGACCCGTTTGACTCGGAAAGGGATCAAGTTTGTGTAGAATGAAGCTTGTGAGTCATCTTTTCAAGAATTAAAAACAAGGTTGACTAAGGCTCCAGTGTTGGTGTTACCTGAGCGTGGCTTGGGTTATGTGATCTATTGTGATGCCTCACATGATGGTTTAGGGTGTGTGTTGATGCAAGGTGGTAGAGTAGTGGCTTATTGGTCTCAACAGTTAGAGACTCATGAGTACAACTATTCTACTCATGATCTGGAGTTAGCGGCAATTGTGTTTGCTTTGAAGTATTGGAGACACTACTTGTATGGTGAGAGATTCGAGGCGTTCTCGAATCATAAGAGTCTCAAGTACCTTTTCTCTCAAAAGGACTTGAACAACAGACAGTAACGATGGGTTGAGCTATTGGGTAGTACTACATACCCACCCATTTATACCCAATCAGTTTCCCATCTGGATCGGCAAATGACCCTTCTAACATCTAGCCTTTTCATTTTGCCTAAATCTGTGCTATAGCAAATTAATAGATTTTTAAGGAATTTCCTATGGACAGGGACTGAGTTTAAAGATACTAGAGGAAAAATTACTTGGTCTGCGGTGCGTCAGCCAAAGGAGTATGGTGGTCTTAGGCTCAGGAATTTTGGTTCTTCAAACATGGCATCTTGCCTTAAGCTAATGTGGAACCTAGTCTCTAATCGATGGGACAACCTATGGGCTCAGTGGGTATGGACTCAACTAATCAGAAATCGCTGTTTTTGGAACATCAAGATCCCATAGCTAGGCTCATGCACATGAAGGGGCAGTTTTGTCTGTGCTTAAGAAGGAAGTGGGGAATGGTATGTTTATTATTTTTGGGAAGACAACTGGCTTCAGGGAGGCCCTTTCACTTTACGATTCTCAACAAGAGATCCGAAGCTCTATAATTGATCAAGGACAACGGCTTTCCTCTCTGATTACTAATGAGGATTAGTGATTCCTTGCAGAAATTGTGGAGCAATTGCCTGATTTATCTCTGATCGATCCCCCAAATTCCACCCATGACAAATTTGTATGGATTCCTTCACCCATAGTATCATTCTCAACCAATCACACCATTAATTTGTTGACTCCACATCACTTTCCTCGATCGTGGCAACATCTTGTATGGAATAATTTCTCGATTCCTCGGTGCAAGTTTACTCTCTGGCTAGTGGTTCAGAATCACCTCCCTACCCTCGATCGAAGTAGCATATCAGTATCTTTTAAGTTATGCCATCTATGCCAACAGAATGATGAAACTCATACTCACATGCTTTTTTATTGCCCTTTTGTACGACCATTATATAGTCATCTTCAAGACATCTGCTGATTTCGTGTTTCTCTAATGGATTGGTGCGATCTGACAGCTTAGGCATCGTCGTGAAGGTGTTTACAAAATTTGATCAATAAACTGGTTTTCCCCACCACTATTAACCAAATTTGGGCTGAGCGCAATGACTGAGCTTTCAAAGCCAAAAGGTGTTCCCAATCGGCAATTCTGAAACAAACAACTAACATGGTACGTCAATGATTATCTTCCATGACCGTAAAGGACTCTGTTTCAGCAAGATGCTTGGCCCTCTCTTGGGATGCATCCTTCATTAGTCCTCCACCGGAACCATCATGCCTGAGGATCGGAGTGAAGCTTTGCATCTTACCCGGCGAAACCCTAGACTATAATTTCTTCTGGGCCAAATATTGGGCTTTTAGCCTTGTTGGTTGTTCGGCTGTTGAAAAGGGCTTGGTCCTGTGTTTTTGTGGCTTCGGTTTGCTTGTACATTCTCTATTTTGTATATAAAATATTTACCTTCCGAAAAAAAAAAAAAAAAAAAATTCCAAACATTCACAATATATATAAACATGTGAACTATAAAATAATATTTTAATTAATAAATTATGTTAAATATATTCAGTTATTGGCTTGAAGGACAAAACCAATCCCAAAACTCCCGAATGTGATTCATGCTATTTCAATGAATATTCTCTCCTCGATGTCATTTGGCTCTCATGGGTCAACTTTAGCTTTCTGCTTCTCTGGGTCTAAAACTTCTCTCAAATTTCTCTAAATATAAGTACTTACTAAGGTATAGATTTATGATATTACTTTACTAACCTTCAATACATACATAATACACACACACACACATATATATAGTATGGGCCTGTTTAATTTCCTAATTCAGCGCTGAAAGCAGAACACGGTAAGTGATTTTTAAAAATAAGTTTGTTTGATAAAATTTTAGAACACCGCTTAACATGGTAAGTACCGTTTAAAAGAATCCAAAATTTTAAGCGTGAGGAAGGTTATTTATCGCTTATCGCAGAACACGGTAAGTGGTTGGGTTTAAAAAATAACTTTTTAATGACTACTCTACTATCATATAATTATGTTATCTCTTTTAGGGTTTTTCTTTGCGATTTTTCTAATGAAAATGAATTATATGTAACAAATTCTAAAAAAATAAAAAACATAATTCTACCTAATATATTTTAATTTTTAAACACGTATATATCCTTTTGGTTACCATTTATATTGACTCATTCTAGAAAATAATTATTTATATAACAGAATTCTATTCAATTTCACGTACTTTCTTTAATATTTTTAACACTATTTTTATACCTACACCATTTTTATACCTACAAAAATATTATGTAATTATTTATATAATAGAATTCTATTATTAGAGAAGAATTGTCTTTCACATACTTTCTTAACACTTTTTTCAATACTTTACCATGTAATCCAAAACCCATATATTTTAAATTATACTTTCTTTAATCTTTTGTAACATTCTTTTTGATATCCAAAAACCTATATACTTTAAATTTTATTAATTATTTATATAATAGAATAAATTTTTTATTTTTATTTTTGTTAACCGTGGGTGTCCGAACTAACTTGCGCGCACTTCGACTCATCCCACGAGGCCCTGAAAATATATAATAGAATTATGTTCCTAGATAAGAATTCTTTTTCACTTTCCTTTATTTTTGTAACACATTTTTTAATACCCTACATAAATATTATGTAATTCAAAATACATATATTTAAAATTTTATTTTCGTTAATTTCTGTAACACTATACCTACATAAATATTATGTAATCCAGAACCGATAGATTTAAAATTTCCATCAAATATTTGTATAATAGAATTTTATTCCTAAATAAGAATTATTTTTCAAGTATTTTCCTTAATCTTTGTAACACCATTTTCAATACCCTACCTAAATATTATTCAATCCAAAACTCATATATTTTAAATATTATGTAATACAAAATCCATATATTTATTTATTTCATTGAGTGAATGTGGTTGTTTTATTAATATTTTTTGTATTATAAATATAAAATTGTTATGAGTATCAAATATTGAGAGCAAAAATGTAATATGTACGACTTTCAGACTTCAACTTTTGTATATAACAAACAATCTTAATGAATCCATCACTTAAAAATTAAAATGTAATTAAACAGGTTTTCAAATTAATACATTCAGTACTTAAAGTTTCAGCGTTTAAAATTTAGTACTTTAAATTTTCAGTGTTTAATTTTCAATTTTATCAAACAATAACATATACATATATATATATATAGTTTATGTTTTTAGTTCCGGTTAAATCTTGATTTGGCTTTGAAATTATTATTTTTGATCCGTTGTTGGCCCACAATTATTTTTGATCTTTTGTTGGCCCAATTTCTAGAGAATCTAATCGGTTCAGCTTTATTGGATGGTTTAATATACACCCACCCTATCTTGTCTTGCCTTTAAAAGGATATTTAAATTATATTTTTCGAGATAGGTATGAATATAATATTTCTTAAACAGATTAAGGTGGGTATGTTCTTAGTACCCACTACCCACTACTTATACAGAGAGATTTTGAAGGAATTCGTTGACTTTGAGTTTTGATACTCTTATTAGAGAGATTTTGGAAACCATTGTCATTATTTATTTATTTTGGGAAGTTATCAGATTAATATTGTTATTAGAAAATGAAAAATCCACTAGGATTTCAGAGTAGTGAGAGAAGATCAGCAAAGCACAGTTGAGTATTTGAATTAGAGGGTATTTTTGTCTTTTAATGTAACTGTAATTTGAACATGCCGTATCCCAACACTCTCTCCTGCTCTCTCGCGGCGTTAGGCAGAAGTTAACTGGACCCCACTGCTTCCTTCCTCCCCCTCCGTGTCTCTCTCTAGAAAGAGTTGTGCACTTGAAAGAAGAGAGGAACTCTCTCTCTCTCTAAAATCCTGAAATTCTCTCTCTAAACTTCTGTACAAACCAAATATCAATTGGTTTCTCGCTTTTTTAGGGTTTATGAGATCCGAAAATCTCTCCCTCTCTCTCAATCTCCGTTGATTCTCTCTCTAGATTGACAGCCTCATTTCCAAAGCCCATTTGTGATTTTTGAAAATCTGTTGTCCTTTATCTTCGGATTTCTAAACATTTCTACCGTCAGATTTCAATAATCAATGGCTTTGACCATCTTAGGGTAGAAGATTTCGGAAGTCTTACCAACCCACCACATTCCAACCAGAGTTGATGCTTCAGATTTTGATGTTCGGTTCATTTTCCTGTTTTAGCCCACTGTTCTTGGGTCGTCTCTCTCTCTAACACAATTGGTAGCTCTCATTCTCAAACTTCCATCAACGTGTGTTGGTTTTGATTGAGTTCTTTAGACTTGGCGATCTGGGTTTCATGTAGTTTCATAATTTATGTGAAATTGAATTTCTTTTCAATTTCCTCCTTTTCTTCTTTAATGGTACATTTTTTAATATAAGGCTTGGACAAATTCGAGAGAATCAAAACTTGGGTTGTAAAACTTGAATAATCACCCATTTAAGAACTTGGGATTTGACTGGGTTGGAGAACAATAGGTTTAGCAGTTGATTGATTGATTGGAAAATTTTGGGGTTTTCTGAGAGGAATGTAAGTTACATTCCGGGATAAATGTGGGTTAAATTGCAGAACCAGTTAAAGAGAAGGTTTGTTGTTCGAAATAAACGATTACGAAGAAGCCTTATCATGGGTTGCATTTACTCAAAAGGAAGTTCCGCTAATGCACATATTGAGAACAATGGGAAGGAGAAGGAGAAGGAGAAGGATAAAGAATCGAAAAAGTCTTCGAAAAAGGTTGTTGCTTCTTCTCGAAAAGAGGAAGTTGTCGTGGATGTTGACAATAGTAGCAATGATGCAACTGCACGGCTCATTAAGACACAGCCCACTGAAGAAATTGTTGCCTCCACACCAAGTGTGTGGGATGATGGGGAGAAGAAGGCCATGGTTGTTGAAAAACCCGAAAAGGCCCGGCTGCAAAGAGGTGCAACAATTGATGCCGGGGTGAACGGAGGACAACCAATGATGATTAGGGTGTTGAGCACTCGCAATGGAGTTGAAGGAGCTCATGTTGCTGCTGGTTGGCCATCTTGGCTGACTGCAGTGGCAGGGGAAGCCATCCAAGGTTGGGTACCTCGAAAGGCAGACTCATTTGAGAAGTTGGACAAGGTCTACTGAAATTCCAAACTTTTTTTAATCTCTGCTGCCTAATTTTGCTGCATTTTGCACCTTGTTTCTTATTTATATATGTAGGTTCACATGGTGGTTTTGATTCATATTTCCCTCCTTTCTGCTGGTAGTCATCATGTATACATACTGCACATTGTTTCATATAGTTATAGGTACACATGGTATTCCTTTCCTTTTCCACTGGCATAGAGATGGGAGTTTCTTTGCCATGCCTGCCAATCTTTCATCACTTTACATTTGTTTCTTTGGCAAATATAATTAGAATTCTCATTTCTTTTCTGTTGGTTATTGATAATGTATTCTACTATATGTTGTCATATACAAGCAATTAAAATTACACACGATATTTGATTTATAGAGGTAAAAACACATCTTTTTTTGGCTCGAGTTTCATGATTGTGTACATCTTTTCAAGTGAAATAATAAACCTTGTTTTCACATATAAATTTTGCGTTGTAACTGATTTATTGGCTTACAAGGCATCACATCCGCTGGATAAATGAGGATTCGATGAATTTTTTAATGCATATATTCTCTTTTGCATAATAAAATTAGTTTTCATGCGATAGCTTTGTTTTACATGTGCAATGAAATGCTGTCAAATGTTTTCCTTTTTTTTATTTATTTAAATTATGCAAGCACATTTATGTGTATGAATTTTTGTGAAAAGAGCTTAAGTTTTATGTGTTTGAGAGCTCTTTATGCAGTCTTGTGGGTTCCAGTTAAAATAATTTGGTATTTTGATATATTAGTGGCTGTAAGACAGGTATTGCCCCATTTCTTTTTGGTCTGCATATTTGTGCTATCAGAACATTCCACTCTAATTTGGTATTTTGATATATTAGTGGCTGCAAGACAGGTATTTCCCCATTTCTTTTTGGTCTGTGCATATTTGTGCTGTCAGAACATTCCACTTTAGTCTAACTCTAAATTTTAAGGTTTTTACCTGGAAATGTTGATTAATTTTAAAATCACATGTATATTTTAGTCAATAATTGAACAAAGCGCCTATTAAATCCACAAACAAAAATTTGTTACTTTTTTTTTTTTTTTTTAACTTCTATCAGATTTTGGGATATACTATGCAAAAGGATATTAGTTTCTTCTTTAGTTCTCATACATAATTTTTAGGGCATATTTTACACAAGCATTTCATTTATTTAGTAAGTGACTAGTTGTTGTCATTTTTATCCATTTCTTTTGATACTTTTGATAGCCGTGACTGACATACCAATTATGCAGATTGGACAAGGGACTTACAGCAGTGTTTACAGAGCCCGCGACCTTGAAACTGGGAAAATTGTTGCATTGAAGAAGGTGCGATTTGTTAAAATGGATCCAGATAGTGTTCGTTTTATGGCAAGGGAAATCCATATTCTGCGTAGGCTTGACCACCCAAATGTCATGAAGCTTGAAGGTCTAGTCACTTCAAGGGTGTCAGGCAATTTATACCTTGTGTTTGAATACATGGAGCACGATCTAGCTGGACTTGCTGCATCATCCACTACTAAATTTACTGAATCACAGGTATTTGCCTTTTCCTTGCAATTTGGGGCGCCATCAGACACCAACTACAATAAAGAATCTGCGTTGTGAAGATAATAGGATCAGTAGTCTGTTGAAATTTCATATAAGAATTTCAACTACAAAGTTTTTCTTTTCTCTAGGTCTGATTAGAGTGATTGATCTAAGAATAATTGTTAATAGCTCTAGCACATATGTTATTATTATTACTATTATCATCATTTCATCCTAGTCATCATCATCATCATCATTATTATTTTTTTGTTTTCGATGAGTAAAATTCTACTGTAATGGCCAAAAAATATAAGTGTAACTGCACAGTTCATGTACACTTGAGGTATATAAAAGGTACAAGATATCAAGAACAAGTGCTCATATCCTCCAAAAAATGTAAAAGAATTCTTAACCCTGATTACTCTAAAATCTAGAAGTATAATGATTTTAAAGGAGAGTGCCTCAATGGCTCAATCGATTGACTAGAAGCTCTATCTCTTGATTGCTTTCTTATTCCTTTCATTCCTTGCACCACATAAGGCAAAGGAGTACGCATCCAGACCTTCCAATGCAGAAGACTTCACACTTTCCAACTCCTACACCTTTGGAGGCATAACCAACATAATGCTAGACAGAGAAACAAAATGACCCAAAGCTCCCTCTCAACAACTGAAATGTAACAAAGGATGTCCAACCATGTCCTCATCCATTTTGCTTAGCACTATCAATGATAACGAGGCTTGGGGGCTGCACATCCTTTTTAGGGAGAGCTAATGCTTGTTGGGTATTTTGGTTTGACACTGCTTCACATCCCAAAAGAAGGGAGCTTAGTCTGAGTTAAACCTTTTTTTTTTGATAATGCAGCCAATGGACTACACCTTTGGTTGAGCATTAGTATTTCTTCGCTATATATTTATAAAGACTGCATACGAGGATGCATTATCCAAGTTGGGAGTCTTAGATATCCACACACTAATTTGAGGGGAGTGTTAGCCGAGATATGATAGGCTAAAATTATGGATGTAACTTACCATATTAGCGGAGATATGTTATGCAAGAATCATGGGATTTGACTTTATTTACGCATATGTCTAGGCATAGAATATGCAATGATTTTATTCAGTTTCCTTTCTTTTTTAGTAATATTAACATGTGCTCTTTTTAGTATATAAATACCAGAGCTGTGAATGAGTGTTCAAGCCTCATTCAAGCCTTTACTTATTATTATTCTCATTCAAGCCTATGCATATTTCTTTTGTATTCCTTCTATCTTGTATTTCTCCTTGTTTCAAATTCACTTTGCTCATATTTCTATTTCTGAACCTCCTTTCATGCTAGTATTTCTAACAGGAGCAATAATTAAGATTTTAATAATTGTTTATGGGTATCTTAAATTCCCTTTTAAACATAAATGTTTTAAATTAAGTGAAGTAAAGTTGCGTTTGGTAATGCAGAGTTTTTTCTCAGAAAAGAGTCTGACTGGTATATTATGTTTTGGAGTGCATATAATGTGTTTAAATCAAGTTCTGTTGTTACAGAGTGAAGGAGAGAGTTTTCCTATGATGATGTGTATCCCATCCAAATGAATAACTCTCCCCTCCCACGCGTCCGTTTATTTGCTATTTATTGTTATTGAAAGTCAACCTACAATACATCTATTTCTGAACTCGATATACTCTCATTTGTGATTTCATGTGTTGGCCCTGCAGATAAAATGTTACATGCAACAGCTATTCCGTGGACTTGAACACTGCCACAGTCGCGGTGTCCTGCACCGTGACATCAAAGGAGCAAATCTTTTGATTGACAACAAGGGGAATCTCAAGATTGGTGATTTTGGGCTGGCAACCTTTTACCGATCCCATGAAAATCAGCCTCTAACAAGTCGTGTAGTAACTCTGTGGTATCGGCCTCCTGAGCTTTTACTTGGCGCTACAGATTATGGAGTTTCTGTCGATCTGTGGAGTGCTGGTTGCATTCTTGCAGAATTATTTGCTGGGAAACCAATCATGCCTGGAAGAACTGAGGTACTTCCCTGCTTGAAAGGTTTTATTTCTTGATGCTTGATAGTTTTTCTTTCCTAATGATCAAAATATTCTTTCGTTTTTAACAAGAAGGCATCTTTTTATAATTGAATGGAAATAGCAATCTACAACCCTGTATTTTTGCATTCGAGAGAGAACAATTGGGAGAACAAATGCACAACCAATATTAACTAATGCTAATGTTGTCTAAAATATACTTGTGAAGGTTGTGCAAAACATTATCTTGTTGGATCTTCATGTTTACATTATCTTCGTATCCGTATCAGTATGCAGTACCGATATTAGATGTATGTATTACTGTTTAGTGAAAATGGGAGAAAGGTACAATATCTGGATCCAAGAATTGGGTGATGAACTGAAAAGGAGAGAACAATGCTATTTAAAAATAAATAAATGAAATCATGACAACAGCGTTTTGTTGGAATGAGAAGGTTGAAGCGATAATTAGTGTATATGTTCGTTCCAGTCCTTAGCATTTATGTAGCAGCAAGGTCGGCTTGAAAATTGGTTTTAAACAAACCTAACAATAAAGTGCACAGAAAATTGTTTATAAAGTTATGCACAAGAAATGAGGGACACATATGAACTTGCTTAGAGATGGGAGTGGAAAAGTGGGGGGTAAACACAAGTTTAGATGCATTGAAGTTGAATATAGGAAGTTCCGGAGAACTAGGATGAGATTTGGGAAAGACTCCAGCTAATATTATATGTCCTTTAGTGAAAACTAACAAGATTGATACCAAGTAATTCCCCCCACCTCTCTTTTCTTTTCTTTCTTTTCCTTTTTTTTTTTTTTTTCAATCTAATGAAAATTATGGTGGGAATTATAGTGAGGAGAACTCTGTAGCAGTGTTTAGGTGAGAAATTATAAGTATCTTAAAAAATGCCTTTTTTGTTAAGGCACTTCAAGGGAGAAAATAACTTATATAAGTAAAAAAGATCAATGTGGGAAAACAGTATTGCTATATTTGATAGGGGGTAGAATGGAGGAAAGAAGGGGGTTAAAGAAAGGGGGAAGGAGGAGGAGATCTCCCTTGTTTATCATAGGGAAATGGCCATAAGAAAGGGAGGAGTCACTTATGGGAGGAGTTTAAAGCATCCTCTCTCCTTTTTTTTTTTTACTGTTTTACCATTGCAGTTAATTTTGAGAATATACTGGTTAAAGCATGCAACACCTCCTCCCTTCATTGTTTTCTTTTTATTTAACTAAACAACATGAGTTAAAAGAGCTAATTTCTTTTCATAGTGATACCTCTTCCATCTCCCTATCATCCCTTCCTTTAGTTTTTCATCCATCATAGCAAATAGAGCACAGAGAATATGATGGTTAGTCTTTGGGGCATGGATGTTTGTGCGTGAAACTGATGTAGAGTGGTCAATTGACTTGCACACAAAGATTGTAACAAAAAAAATTTCAGTTAAGAGGGAAAAAAATACTGTACCTACATGAGAAACAATGTCAAAAAAATCCTATAGCTACATGAGAAGCAATGTCATATTCATATTTTGTCAAACTAGCTTTCCAGGGTTTAGAGCTAGAGCATGTGAATGGCAACTCAAGACGTCATGTGGCTGAGGGCATCTAAAAATTGTCACATTGTCGTGCGCATACATACGCAATCATGTACCTATATATATATATATATATGTACATGAGTACAAATATTAATATGAGTAAAAATATGTTTATATTCATTTTTTTAGTACGTAAGTTATGCTATAAAGTTTACATATAATTTTGAAAGTATAAAATGTAAAATAATGTGCAAGACATAAGCTTTGTGTTGGTTCTACGGTTACTTAAGGGAGTGAGCTATGGGGTGAAGGTCCATTCAATACTTCAAAATTAGGCTGTTTTTGGTTCAAGGATATGGATTTAAGAATTGGATTTGGCTTTGGCCCTAAAAATCTAAATCTTGCAACTGGATTGTCCTCCAGTAGTATCTGAAACTCCGATGCAAACCTAAGATTTGAATTTTATTCATAGAAAGAAAATATGGCAATTTTATGGAATGAGATGTTATTTGCAATTTATATCACTACATTTTAAAACTATATATATATATATATATATATATATATATATATATCAAAGTTTTAAATTGTATAGGTGGTCATTGATGCAGATGTGGGGTGTAACGGACGTCATGTAATGGTATTGGAAATTGTAGTCGTGAAATTTTTTTGACCTTGCACATTGTGGATTCATCAAGCTGATACGGAATTTTTAGTTCCAAAATCTTATAAAAATTGATTTGTAATATTTTTTTGTGGATTTTGATCAATATTTAAAGATGAATTAATGTGATTAATAGCCTACAGATTACATAAAACCATACTAATTTATAGATGTCACCTAGGAAAAGGGGCAAAAGACTAAACTACCCATGTAATAAAAGACTAAAGACTAAACTACCTACCCATGTAAAAAGTAAAAAAGGATACAAGACTACAGTAAAAACTAGAAAAATTCTCTAACAAGGACCTCCTATTTCTCTCCCACCACAAGCCCTACCATAACCAAAGGGACACTACCCTCCATGCTTCTCGGGCTTGAGACCCCACTATTCATCTTCTCCAACCCTCAAGCATGCTTTACATGGTCTTTGGCATAATCCAGTGAACCCCAAACAAGCAAGAAGCATGCCCCAACCGTCCCAAACTACCGGACAATGCGAAAGAAGACGGTTAACCAACTCTTCATTCTTCTTGCATGTGCAGCCCATGCAAAACCTGTTCACAACAATCTGCCTCCTCCTCAAATTGTCAATATCCTCCCCAAAATTGTCATCGAACCGAAAAAGTGAGAGGAGCTTTGGTGCGCCAAACTACCCTCCATGGAGAGGGTGACCCGAGCAACCATCAATTTCCTATAAAAGGACCACACCTCAAACCTCCCTTGACTGGGTGCCACCCTAAGCCACTCATCAAGCCCCTCTCCATCCACTCTCTGATTATAGTATGACATTATTAATTTATAAACGAATTTCTTAATTTTTTTTTTTTTTTTTAAATTTAAAAAGTTTTCTATAAGTTTTTGTAATTTCAATTTTTTACAAACAGTGTCTAGCTCAGTACCTTTGGGCAATGGCATGTAGTTCCTCCAGGGAAACGATTTCTATGTGATTGAGCTGCTGGAATTGCAAACAGTGTCTAGGTCAGTACCTTTGGGCAATATCAGAAGAGGTCTGCTTTGGTCTTCAACTTGATTGAAATCAAATTTAATAGAGTGGTCAAGAGCTAACTTCGAATCATGTAACTGAAAAAGATGAATATGAATAACTCAGAAGTCTCTACAACAGGCAGTATAATTACACCACCATATCTATTTCATATTTATGATTCATTTAATCCTGCAAATGTAGTTTTGTTTTGAATTTTGATTGACTTGGCCATATTTATATTTGGCGGTACGCAAAGCACCATCTTTATGGTGAAGGGTGTTATTTTTCTAGCTTTGAAGATGTATATGATTTTTTTTTTCTTTTTCTTTATAGGGTATGTATAGTAAAAGCATTGTATTGATATGTTTTAAATTAACCTGAATTTGATTCCTTATTGAGCTGCTGTTTTTCTAATATAGGTGGAACAATTGCATAAAATTTTCAAACTTTGTGGTTCACCATCTGAGGATTATTGGAAAAAATCAAAATTGCCTCATGCAACTATCTTTAAACCTCAACAACCTTACAAGCGTTGTTTTGCTGAGACATTTAAGGATTTCCCTTCTTCAGCTTTAACCCTTTTGGATGTCCTCCTTTCAGTTGAACCTGAAAACAGGGGATCAGCTTCCTCTACGCTTCAAAGTGAGGTAAATTGAGTTTTTTTTCTTTTCTTTTTTCTTTCTATATTTATCTGTTCATCCTTTTAACTTGATGTTCAAAAGTTTTTCAGTTTTGATCTTTTATTGTGGCTTTGTTGTTGTTCTTCTTCTAGATGTGACTTTTGCTACCTTCTCTATTTCTCACTAAGGTAGGTTTGCTTGCTGAAATCAGCTAATAAATGATGATCAATTTGTTAGGAAGGATGGAGGATTAGATGAAATGGAAGATATGTTGGGATGAAAAGGTATACCTTGGATAAGGAAACAACTTTTCCCTCATGTTGTTTGATTGAGAAGAAAGGAAGAGAAAGGTTATTAAGTGATTTTACCATTATGCCAGTGAATAATTGAAATAAACTCATATTTCTTAGGGCAAAAATGTCACAAAGACGAGAGAATATTGTTAGTAGATATGATAGCCACGATTTATGGAATGACTTACCGTATTAGCAGAGATTTGATTATGCTATAGAATATGTTGTGATATGATTTAGATTTGATTTAATTTCCTTTCTTGTAATATGAGCATGTACTCTTTTTATCTATAAATACTAGAGTTGTGAATGAGTGATTATATCAGTCAAGCCTTTGCACAATTCTCCCATTTTTCTTCTTTTTATATTTCTACTTGGTATCAGAGCCAAGGTGGTCCGACTGCAATGAGGGCATTGCGAGTTCGGCACCACCCATTCGGGAATGGTCTAAGGTGACATCGCCTATCCAAAAGGTGTCGGGTAGGCAAGGTGGTCCGACCTCAATGAGGGTCTTGCGAGTTTGGCACCACCCATTTAGAAATGGTCAGAGGAGACATAGTTGTTTCTTTTTATGGTGAGACATTGTTGATTCTTTCATCTACATTGTTTAAACATATGTATGAAGTGGAATGGTCTGAGGAGACATTGTTGATTCTTCCATCTGCACGTTTTAAACATGTGTATGAAGGGAAATAGTCTGAGGAGACATTGTTGGTTGTTTACGGTCTGAGGAGACATGATTGGTTGTTTACGGTTTGAGGAGACATGATTGGTTGTTTATGGTCTGAGGAGACATGATTGGTTGTTTACGGTTTGAGGAGACATGATTGGTTGTTTATGGTTTGAGGAGACATTTTTGATTTGTTGATCGGCACTTCATTTGAGAGAAAATCATCGTTAGTCAGATTTGCACTCCATTTATCATGAGCTCTCAACAGCTTGCAGACATTCTTACAAAGGGTGTCAGCAAGATTGTGTTTGAGAAAGCATTGTCCAAGTTAGGCATTTTAGATATCCACGCACCAACTTGATGGGGAGTGTTAGCAGATATGATAGGCACGATTTATGGAATGACTTACCGTATTGGCAGCATTTTTATCTATAATTACTAGAGCTATGAATGCGTGATTATATCATTCAAGCCTTTACACAATTCTCTCATTTTTCTTCTTTTTATATTTCTACTGATGTGCTTCCTTCCCTTTCCCGCACACTTTTGGATGGAAAAAGAAAATCATACAAAGGATGTAGCCCTTCAATTCCCTCTCTCTCTCTCCTCTCTACATAACATGGGGAGAGATCCTCCCTCCTTCCCTTTTTCCTTCCCTTCTTGTTTTCCACATTCTTCCCCCAACCAAACTCTGATTCATAGCATAACTCTGTCCATTATATGGAATTGTGACTGCTGCAAAATCTTTGGATTCCTTCTCAGGAGAACTTTAATTGCAATTCTGATCGGATGGGATGCTTCTGATCATCTAATATTCAAATTTGTTTTTTAATTTAGTATTATTCTGTTCAGTTTTGGGATATTCTTACTAGTCTTGACTATGATTTGATCTTTCTGCTTTTTGGGAGTTATTTATGTATGTAACTTTGAGTTTCTTTTTCAGTTCTTCACAACAAAGCCTCTTCCCTGCAATCCATCAAGTTTACCCAAGTACTCACCTAGCAAGGAGTTCGATGTCAAACTTCGTGAAGAAGAAGCGAGAAGGTATACAGTCCAGATTTTGGATAATATTAAATTACATTCCATTGAAAAAATTTCTCCTGCCAAAATGTCAGTTTATATATTTATTTTTAATTTAATGAAAATTAAAAACTAAAAATCTGCAAGTTGTCTCCTTTTCAAGAAATGTTGCTTGTGCTGTATAATTTCAATACAGTGTAAGGTAGCATGGAAATTACTGCCTCTCTATGCTTGTGAAATGTATTTACACAACTTACTTAAAATAAGAATGTAATTACAGGGATATTTAAATATCTTATCCTGAACAAGAAAAAACTTTTGTTTGGGACCCTCCTGGTAGGAAAAGGAAGTGTGTTTTGTAGTTTGTATACCTTGGTTAATCTATATTCTGTGTCCTTGATGCCAGGCAAAAAGTGGCTGCTGTTACAGGACGAGGAATTGAATCATGTAGAAAGGGTTTCAAAGAATCTAAAGCACTGCCAGTACGAGGTGCTAATGCTGAGTTGCAGGAGTCCATGATGGTATTTCCTTCTCTATATGGCTTTTAAACAGACGTACTCTATGTGCGCGCATGTGCATTTAAATCCTATATTTTCTTTTAATATATACATGCACACACATGCACGCATGCATACACGCTTTGAATGAGTTGGAAGCATAGTAACTTCATTTTCTTTGGTTCATTCAGAAGCAAAAAGGAGAGTCAAACCCCAAGAGCAAGAAATCCAATGCCGAAGAAGGTGGTGATGGTTCTTCTGTCTTTGTTTTTGAGCCATCCAGAGGAAGATCACAAACAGGTGTATCCCATTCTGGCCGATTGGCTCAACCTGGCACCTTTGGGTCTTTAATTAATATGAATGTGAATGAATCTTTAAAACCTGAGGGAGCGGCAGCTCAGTTGTCTAGGTATTCCAGTTCAGTAGCAGTTCGTGGCAGTACACGGTTTGATCTTAGCAGTGAGTCAAGTGCCAGTCCACACTGGCCAGAGGGGAATGCCAGATATAACCAGCTGGATGTTTCAGGGTCCTCTGTAAAACGTGGATGGTTCCATAATTTATGGAATAGGCCTAACTCTTCTTCGAAGAAGGATGAACGGGAGTCCGGAAAGGAGTCTTCAATGGTAAAAGAATCATTTACTTTTAATTTTTATTTATTTATTTAATTAAAAAAAAAAAAACAAATAAAAGATAAAACATCTATATGACTAATGCATTTGGGGAATTTCTGTGAAATGAATGACCAGTGAAATGGACTAAAGCAAACGTCAGTTTTTTTTCTGTTGATAAATGGGTTGGCGTATTAAAAAAGGATAAAGCATTACAGCACATAGGAAAATCAAAGTAATTAGACAAGAATATATCATTTGGTGGGCAGCCCGCCCTTGTTACAGGTACCTTCACTGGGTACATCTCATGGAAAAACATTGATACTTGCATTGTACAACATGGAATTGTATAATTTATAACTCAATGGATCATGAAATTCCAAAGGGTTCTCCCAGTGAAACTTATTGTGTGACAATCTAGTATGGTAATCAACATTCCAATGATATTTTTTGATGAAATAAACTTAGTACATAAACTTGGATTCCCTTTTTGTATATATATGGTTGGGGGTTGCTCATATTCTGTTTCTTCAGATTTCTTTGGAGTAATTGCTATTATTACTTTGGTTTTGACATTAGGTTGGTTCTTCAAAGAAGAACCGGATTCACTACTCAGGACCATTGCTTCCTCCAGGTGGAAACCTCGATGAAATGCTCAGAGATCACGAGAGACGGATCCAACAGGCTGTTCGAAAAGCTCGTATTGATGTGGCGAAAACCAGGAAGAAGTACAGTGGCAATGGACAAACCGCCTCACTAATGCACCATGGAGGAAACGGGTGATGATGACTTTTGAGAAAGAGCACTTATGGCACCTTCACAAGGATTTCAAAACCCTAGCTGAATGATGCAATCCTCATTTACTGCATCGAGATGCTGACAAAACCTTTAATTGTGAGAGGAAGTGGACCCGGAGGACCAATTTTAGGTTCCACTTCTTCGCATACTCTTCTTATCAAGGACCAACTCTGGGGTTCACTGCTTCAGATAGCTCTTATCTATATCAGATATTTGCTGCAATTTGAATCCTTCAGAAAGCTTTTAGGTGATGAAAAAAGTCGAGTTGTTCGAAGTTACAACCTTCAGCAAGCTTTAGGTGATGGGAAAAAGAATGAATGGTTCACAAGTGAATCAAAAACTCGGCCATCACTTGGTGGCGGCCTCTGTCATTGACAGTGGCATTGCCGGAAATATGTCTGTACAGATTAAATCTTGTATACTCGAACAGTTTTTACATTATTCAATCTAAAGGTTAAGCTATTTTCTCAAGTTTGTAGGAATGAGTCACGAAAATCATTCACCATGAATTCCAGTTCCCGTTGCAGAAACTTATTTGCTGCTGACAAATTCGCTTTTTCTGTATATTTATTTTTGTATCATTCTATTTCTTGATGCTCATGGAGGCTCTACAGGTACTGAGATAACAATAGAGGAGATGTAATGGTATGTTGTGAATACAGTTTTCTGTAAGTGCTATGGAACTGGCATTTTTCAATAGTCCTGCAAAAAATATATATATTATTTTTAATCAACAAAATCAACTATTTTCATCTGTGCAGAATTTTCAAATAATATGCCCTCTATCCTTTTTATTTTATTTTATTTCTTTCTTTTGTCGACATTTTTTGCGTACGCTTCCAATTGCTGCTTGAAAAGCTGTAATCATTGACAGATTTAGCAAAGTAGTGCAGCAAATGCATGGATGTCACATATATCATGCAACAAGTTATCATTCTTTCAAACAATAAAATGTGGATGTGAGACAGCATGATATGTATTGCAGTTCCCTTTTCGTCACAATATATATATATATATATATTCATGACCCTTCTTTTTTAAACAACAAAATCTGTCAGGCTTTCATGATGATCAAGTGCTTTGTGAACTACAGAACACAACAATGTCACCTAATTATGTACATATTTCCTAGGAGAATAAGAGTTCCTATCACGTTCTTAAGGTCATGTTTTCTAGTTAAGAATGAACAAAGTGGCCTCAAAAAGTGGTCATGACTTCTGACATGAATTTCAACAATGTGGACTTGAGATAACTGCCACCTTTTTGTTTACATCCAAACTAAACACAAACATACTCCTACAGAAAATAAATAAAAACATTTAATAACATTAATTAAAAAAGCACTTTCAACCACATATATATAGATCAATAACAATAATATAGATTTTCTTTAAAAATGAAAACCAAGCCAACTACTCAACATGAGAGGCACATCACCATCCAAACTTGCAGAAGCAGTTCACCAAACTAGAAGATCTACCAACCATAAATATATATATATAAAATTTTGCTTCATCCAAAAAATTGTTGCATCTACCAACCAACCATTATTTTGCTTCATCCAAAATTTTGTTGTTCTCAGGTCTTCATCAATCATTCAATTATATATATTACATCCCTTCATCTCCAAGCATCAAAAAGCAGTCCCTATCTTCACTACTCTTACCTCTCAACTTACACTCAATTCTTTCTCAAGTGCATACCAAAACATAACCTTATATTCAACCCCAAACCCTAAGCTCCAAACCCCATCTTTCCCTTTGTTTCCATATCCAACTACAACAAACAATAAACCACCACTTCTTGAAATTTCCCCAAACAAATTAATTAGGAAAAAAATGAGGTCCAAAACCAAATACCCCCTCAACCTCAAGCTCCTCCTCATTGCCGTCTTCCTTGCTTTCTTCCTCCTCTTCGTGCTAAAATCGAGCTACTACTCATCTTCGATGCAAAACTCAGCCCCTCCCACCTCCCAAAATCATTTGCCAAATCCGACGAGAGAAGTGAAAGCAAAATGTTCACCAACTTGCACCAAAATCCCACACTCGCTAGCCAAAGCTATAACACACTACACAACCTCAACCATCACACCGCAACAAACGCTGAAAGAGATATCAGTGACACTAAAGGTGTTAGAGAAGAAGTCCCCCTGCAACTTCCTCGTCTTTGGCCTAGGCCATGACAGCCTGATGTGGCACTCACTCAACCATGGCGGGCGGACAATCTTCCTAGAAGAAGACCAATCTTGGATCGAGCAAATCAAGCGCCAATTCCCAATGCTGGAGTCGTACCACGTCACGTATGACAGCAAGGTGAGCCGGGCGGACGAGCTGATGGAGGTAGGCAAGGGACCGGAGTGCGCGGCCATTGGTGACCCTAGGTACTCCATGTGCCAGCTTGCTCTGAAGGGGTTGCCAAGCGATGTTTACGCGATAAAATGGGATTTGATCATGGTGGATGCTCCCACAGGGTACCACGAGGAGGCCCCCGGAAGGATGACTGCTATCTACACAGCCGGTATGATGGCGCGGATTAGAGAGGATGGAGAGACGGATGTGTTTGTGCATGATGTGAACAGGGTGGTGGAGGATAAGTTCTCCATGGCATTCTTGTGTGATGGGTACATGAAGACGCAAGAGGGTCGCTTGAGACACTTCACAATTCCAAGCTACAAGGATGGCTTGGACAGGCCCTTTTGCCCTTAGAATGCATTTCATTATTCCAAGTTTTATTCATATGAAGTATTCATTTTTTTTAATCCATAAGTGTTTCAAGCACTGATTTTCTTTGCCATTGCATCATATATAGAGAGAGACATCTAGAGATGAAAGAAATAATGGTACATATATAATAAAAACTGAATTTGGGTATGGCTATGTTTAACTTTTTTGCTGTGATTAATTGCTATATATCTTTGATTTTGTCCGATTAAAGGGAAATTAATGAAAAGTTCTGATTTTTTTTTTGGAAGATGTTTGAATAACTGTTGGGATCCATAAGTTTTTATGCTGTTGCATGAGACATGAGAAATAATAAGCATGATACACAAGAACAACTTTGCTCATGATTTTTGGTGTTACATGACTATCCAACCACTCTTCAATTGTTGATATAAACCTCTTTCCGTTTGTGTCCTTTCTTCGTTTGATATCTTATGGAACTGACTGAATATTAGGATCCTAAAATAAATTAATAAGTGTTTATTCAATGTTAACGTATTCTAGATATCACTTAAAAAAAATAAATGACGTCCCTTAAAATGAGGTGACTTCATTTATGCCGAACACTTGAAATACATTAAAAAAATATTATATATATATTTTTACAAATTACAACTCAACCTCTACACGTCATCTGTCACACTTAAATACAATATATATATATATATATATCAAGACCCAAAGAGCTAATTTGGATAAGAAAGGATGAGTAGACAAGCCACATGATTATTATTGTGAAGGTATGGCCCATCAGTTTTTCAACGAGGTTAGTCCTTACCTTAGACCTATATCACTAGGTCATGATGAGTCTTGCTAGGCCTATGTTTGACTCTAGGCATTGTCAGTACTCCTCATCCTCCGATCACTCTAAAGGCTCGTTTGAGAAGTGTTATGCAGTGTAATATAATCCTGTAATTTAGAACAGGACAAGTGTTTTATATTGTGGTGTTCTGAAATTAGAACAAAACATATTTGGTGAAGAAAATGTATTTCAAGGAATTTTGGAACAAAAATGGTAGAACATGTTTGGCAGGGTATGCTGTTCCAAAAATTATGACAAACAAAATATGTTTGGCAGAATGAAAATGTAATCAAAATTACTAAAAATAAAAATAAAAGGTTGGGTTGTTTGGTAAATAATGTTTTCATTATTATCTTTTTTATAACTTTATTAAATAGAAAGTTAAAATTAATTATTGTATAATTTTATGGAGAAAAATCACATAACCCCCTATACTAACGTTTTCGTCTAAAATCCCTCTACTAAAATTAAACACTTCCCTAAACAATAAACCGCAATTACATTGCCCCCATTTCTATTCAAATCCATTAAGTTTGTATGAAATGACAAATATACCCCTATAATAAAATATAAAATTTAAATACCTTATATAAATATAAATTAAATACCTTATATATATATATATATATAAATTTAAATACCTTATATAAAGATCTCTTGTTTTAAATACGTTTCTCTCTCTCTGAATATACATATAAAGCCACTATATCGATGACACGCTGACACCTTATCAATCCTCCTCTATTACCAATTTGTTGGATAAGCCCAAGCAAAGTCAAATAAAAATCATATAGATATATATAGCGAATGTATGGAACTCTGTTACAGATGAATCACTGCAGCGAGAGAGAAAATCAAAGTCTTCAATAGTCAATGATTAAATTAAGGTTTATTTCATGATTATCTCAGTTTGTGTATATGGAAAATATCAGTTTTTCTTGCAATCATGGCCGTCATTAAAATTGGTGGAAACAGAGCGACGAGGTGGAGTGATTGGTGCCGGAATCAACTGTAAATCAATCTTCGACCAAATTCCGGCGTACATCATCTCCCTTGCTAATCTCAGAATTTTTGACCTTTTTTGGAAACCAATTAACAATCACACGGAGGCACACCCTTCGCAAAATTGAAGGAATGATACATTCTACAATCGCCTACCAAATCGCAATCGACAGATGAGAAACACGCCGATTTGAAGAGAGACGATGAATAGAGAGTTGGGCGGAGTTTCCTAAATGCCGATTTTGTGTTCTATCTTTCCTTTTATACTTGTTCTGCCATGGGCCAATGTGTTCTCACTGCTACAGTATCCATTGTAACCCAAAAATTGTTGGAACAAACTAGAACATGTTTTTTTTGTTTCAACTTTGGGCCTTGAAAGCTGAAGTGTACTAGAACTATTGGGAACAATACAATGCGGGCCAAACATATTGTGGGCTGAAAATGGTTACTGTAGCACTATAGGGAACAACACAGAACACTACACTACACAAACCAAACAGGGCCTAAGTGTCCTAAAGAGTTTATGAAGAAGGAGAAAAATCCCACTCCCTCGGAAACTTATAAGGATACTTCTGAGGGAGCATGTTATCACGCATTGTTTATGGAGGTTGTGACATGCAGGCGCTGAGTTAGACAATGTATGACAATTGCATGACGAGAGGAGTTTTTAGAGTCTTTCGGAATTATTTAGAGTTGTTTGGAAGATTCTAGATATGTGTAAAATATTGTAGAAGTGTGTAGAAGGTTCTAGAGTTCTACAAAGTTGTGTAGAGTAGTATGGATAGTTCTAGAATGTTGTAGATATATATGAAAGTGTGAAGAATGTGGGAGAAGATTCTAAAGAATTGATCTCCACCGTCGGTTAGAATGCATCTTAGCCGTCCATTAGGGATGGACATGTCTATAAATAGGAGTAAGACTTTATTTTGTAGCCATGCCATCATGTCCTATAGTGAGTCTTAAGAGCCTTGTAGAGAGCTTGAGAGCTAGCCTTGTACAAAACATTCTTTGAAGTAATAAAAGTGTTCTTTCCTTACCAACTTAAATGCCTTAGTGTGTGTGAGTGTGCAAGCCTAGTGAAGGTGATCGAGGGCGAGGGCCATTACAACACTAGTAAGCACATGAGATGAGTGTGTTGGCTAAGGTGTACACTGTAGTTAGGCTGACCAAGTGCTTGCGCGAGTATAAGCAACACCTTGGTGCAATATGGGTTTGGCTATAGTGGTGCTGAAACTCTAACCTCGTGACAGTTGGTATCAGAGCAGGTTCATTAAGGGAGCTATGTTGGAGTAGACATGGCTAGCGAAGGAGACCACCATGTCCACATCATGAAATAGAGCTTAGAGGAGAAGCTCGCCACACACTTGGTCTACACGGAGACCAAATTCAATAGGCTCGAGAGAAAGATTGCGAAGCTCTACCAGCTGATCGACAGCTTGGCCATCAAGGCACGAGAGAAGGAAATGGACTTGCAAGATCGAGTAGACGACTGGTGTGACGGCCCAAGTTTTTCAACCCGGTGCGTTAGTGATAACCCGAAAATTGACCCGATAACGGATCCGAAATGTGGAAGCAAAAGATGAAACCATAGTCCCTTGAGATAAAAACCATCTCTAAGATATCAATGTGATATTCCATGAGGTCACAGAAGTTAAAGTGAACAAAAGAGGAAACTAGAGTTAAAACGAGCAAAATTCATCAATAAAGGGCAAAATGATCAATTCACAATTAAAATGATAAAATTGACTCTAAACAAGTCAAAAAAGGTGAATACAACCTAATATAATCATTTCACAACATTCCAAGGGGTTTAAAGAATATTAGCCAAGAATCCCACAAAATGCCCTTTCCCGGTTGAAGTGAAAACTGACACTACTTTACTAAAATATGAATAACTCCCACTGTGATTGGAATCTGAGAATAAAATTAGTACCATTGGAAAGCTGACTCAAAATCCATGAATTTAGGCTCAAGAATCACCCCATTTGGATAAGAAATGAAGGAGATATGGCCATTCAAAGTCGGAACAGCAGTGTTGAAACTGAACTGAAGAAGCTAGAGTATGAAAGCTATTCAGGTCGACCGAAATGGAGTTTTGGTCGACCGAAATGACCAAAAATTTTGCTGAAAATATGAATTTAAGTGCTGGTTGTTTCGGTAGGCCGAAATAAAGTTTCGGTCGACCGAAATAGGCCCTGAATAGTAGAATTGGCTACTGGAATGATGAATTACTGTGCGTTAATGATTCCATTTGCCATCGGTCGACCGAAATGGAGTTTCAGTTGACCGAAACACCACGAAATACTACTGGAAAACCTGCTAAGTGCCAAAGGTGTTAAGATTCAACCTATGCTTTGAAACTCATGATGAATTGGTTCAAAATGAATGTTGAAAACTGATTTTTCAATGAGATTTGAGTATGTAAACATGTCAACAACTTTGATATGAATATTTGAATGTAAAACAATGGCCCATGGCCTCATACATATCAATTACAAGATTTTCATATGTCAAACCTCCAAAATTACATATCAATTGAAGCAAAAGTTTGATACCAAAAGAGTACAAGTACAAAAGTACACATGTTTGACCCTTAACCTCTTTACATACATGCTTATAATGTCAAAAAGAGATATTAAAGTATCATTACACACCAAGAAAGCTACATAAGCTTCTAAAGTACCATACACCCACGGTATACAAATGTGACATCAAAAGAAAGACATGCTCAACACTTGCATGTCAATATACAAAAATGCTTCAAATAGCTCATAAGCCTCTAAGGATGATGAGCATCCAAGAACATAGTCTCTTTACCTGAAAAACAACCCAAACCACTAGGGTGAGTAATCAAGTTACTCGTAGGAAGAAGCATAGGCGTACACCCTAAAGTTTCAATATCATTGCAAGATCAATATAGACGAATACAAGGGATCATTCCACTTAACGTATATGTTCAAGGTGTTCTCAGGGATTATCTTAAGCTAACTTAAATGATTCTTTAACAACACATAATAACATTAACGTACTTAACAACATCAATTCGCCAATAATAAGAATTACAAGTTACAATTAAACATTGGTTGTCAACTTGGAATTTAATGCGAAATCAATTAGTGGAAGACTTGGATATCATGTCTCGGACTAAACCAAGATCAAAATGATTATTCTGGGCATTAACCCGCTGGGAAGACCACCCTAGTGCGCACTATCTCAATTGGGGATAACTCATACCTCCCGCACTAAAGCCAAACTTTAGCCATGTCATTGTAACAATGTCCCAAGAGAATCCAAAATCATAATCAAGTTCAAATCTTATACACTATAATTAAGGCATATAAACCACCTTCCATGCACAAGTATTTTGAAACCACACAAACCATGTCTTAGGGTTCCAAGTCTAAAATGG